TCCCATAACCATCTTTCCACCCATTCCAAAGTCTCGTCTCTGTTCTAGTGATGACTTCATCGGTATATTCTGCCGATGAATCCGGAACTAGACATGGCCTGATTCCTGTAATACCGGGGACATGTAGGCAGCTCAAAGACCAGGGTCCGGCCTCTATTTTTCAAAACATCCCATTCAGTCAAAACTGGCCATCATTTCATTACCCGAAAACTCTTTCATCCTTCCCGGGTAAAGAGGCGCAGCGGTTGATACCCAATTTTTCCCTAAAATATTTTCAAAACTACGCATTGGCATCAATTGGTATTTTTCATACAATTTCTGCATTTTTTAAAGATCTTAATTAATTTATCACAGTATTTTATTTATAAAACAATCACTGATTGCATCGCAAATAGTTTTATAATAATTTTGTGGCTTAATTTCATCACTTGCATTTGTACTAAGTTTCAATTATTGCACAAATAGCCACATTTGTACTTTTAGGTTACCATTGCAATTATAACCCATGCATGCATTATTACATTATTTTTATCGGAAAATAGCCTTTTATATTTTTAAAATATTAAGTAATTATTTTAAAACGTTCCTAGGCATGAAAATTATTTTTTATAATTTATTAACTATTTTAAAAAATTATATTAGCAATTAAATGTGTGTTTAACAAATAGCCCTTTTTTATTCTGACCTAGCCAACTGAACAGCCCAATTTCAATCCCAAATTAGCCCAAAATCTACCCAGGCCCAATTTTTACCTGATCCTAACCCAATTAAACCTACCCGACCCGATAACCCTATTAAATCGTGGCCGTTGATCTTTTAGATCAACGGTCCATGATCAAACTTTCCTTTTTAATTCCAAACGACCCTCTAACCTAGCTCATTTACCCATCTCCGCCACCCTTCGTTCCCCCATCTCTCAAACCCTCCCTCAAGGCCTATCTATGGTTGTGAGTGTTGCTATCACGATGCTTTTACGGTCCAAATCTCTTGCTTGAGACTGGATTCCCTTTACCCTTTCATTCTTTTTTCAAAACCCTAACTTTTAATCACGGATCTTTCCATATCTTTGTAGATATGGAGAGATTCCGAGTTTGTCACTAATTTTTCTTTAATGTGCTTCTGTTTCCCTACTGATTAACCGATTTTTAGCACTATATTACTTTATATGTTGGGTTCTTTGTTATCTGTTGTTCGAATCTCTGCATACTTGAAATGTTTTCAAGTTTCCATGATTTTTCTTGAAGTTTCTCTTATTCCTTTACGATTAATCGATTTTTAGAACTATGATACTTTAGGTTTTTGATTTCTCTGATTTTTGTTGTTTGAATCTCTGCATGTTTGAGTTGCTTTCTGTTTCCATGGCTATTTCTTCAAAGTTCCCCTAATCTTCCTGCTACTAATCAACCCTAAGTATCTTTCTAATTATCTGGGGTTTCCACTTTCGTTTTTGCAAAAGGTTTTCTGAAGGTTTTATGTTTCTCGCATGGTTATGTTTCTGGTCCAATTGATTGACTACTCAGTGTTTGATTTCAACCTCTTGCCCGTTATCGTTTTAATAATTGAATGATTGACCTAATTATCTAGGGTTTCATTTGTTTACTAAACTAATTTATTGATCTCTGATTGTTTTCCTCAATCCTGAGTTTCTTAATTGACAGCTCTTGTCTATCTATGGGTTAATTGACCCTTTGATTGGTCTCTGATTACCCGTGTTGCCTTATTTGTAAAACTGATTACTCGATTTAAGGGTTCTAACCCTAATTGACTGTTAAACCTACTTCTTGCCTTATTTTAAATTCAATTAGACTCATTTATGGTATAATTCCCTAATTTCCTATCCCCGATCAAGCTTGATTGATCATTTGATTACTTCATTTATCTTATTTACAATATTTACCTGCCTTGCCTTAATAAGTTGTCCGTATGATTTTGAGTATTTTTACGGATTCCCTATTTGGTATAACTTGAATTCCTTATCCTAATTGACCCTTTCTTCTTGTTGTTATGTGATTACCCCTAATTAAGGGGTCTATTCCGGACACCCTCGCATCATTTGATTCTATAATTATTTGATTACCCTTATTTTATGAGCTGTGATTCACTCTTTACCTTATTTGTTTTCACCTTACTAAGTGCTATATATATGCTCTCACTCTGTTTCTTCTAAAGACACGAACAATAGTTCATAAGCACACTCACACACAAATTCTGCTCTCATCTCTCTGCTACTTGTGTTCATCTGTTTGTCTAGTCGGCTGAAAGCCAGGACTAGACTGTTGAATCCTGCTACTTTACTTTCTGCTTCTGCTTCCCTACTGGTATGCTCCCACTTTACCCTCATGAAAAAGTCTGTATGAATTTAATTTGTGTACTTCCTATTCCCAACAAGTCTCTTTTATGTTACTAAACCAGTAGGATCCTCTACATCAACTTGTCCATCTTTAACTAAACCTATGTGTTCCATGCTTCTTGTTCTTAGTCAGCATATATATTGCCATTCAATAATGCTGCATGCTTCCTGCTATTCGACTTAACCTATATGATTCCTTATAATTAGCATGCCCTTTCTCCTGTCTTGATCAAACCTATATGTCTACTGCCATCACATGTTTGCTTCTATGTTGACTACAATAACCTACCTGCCTCTGTCTAGTTGAATCTATGTGTGTCCTGCTTTTAATCTGTTTGTTCCTGCTTTAGTTAGACTTATGTGTATCCACATGAACTAGATTCATGCTTATTTTTTATGACCAATATGACTTCCCAATCCCTGCTCCCCCCTCTGTGTGGTTGTTTGTTCTCAACATGCTATATGTCACCTAGTGTTAACTAATGAATTAAGCTAAATCTGGGCAGTGGGAATCTTTGCTTTGAAACTTTGTGACCATATTTTCTGCTTGATGTTTGATTGCTAAAACCTTTGCTTCAGAGTGTTGCAATGACCCTGTTTACTTCTAAACTATTTTCTTAAAACTTCTTCTATTTTCAAACATTCCTCCTATTCTTAGAACGCCTAGGGTCTTGCCCCTCTGGTCTAAGCATTGCTTAGGAGTCCCTGAGGCTCCTCTGAACTTTGAAACACTGGAGTTGGCTTTCCAAGCTTGCTCACAAAGGGTTACTATGAAGGTTTTTCCTGGTGTGAGCATTGCCCGGGGTCCCTGAGGCCCTTGGGAACTTTGACACACCAGAATCCTGTTGGGTGAATTATGAGATTATGGAATTTATGGACGGGTTGAAGGCCTGGTCTGCTACGTGTATCTTTTGGGCCAATAGTTGCAGTAATTCCACTTCTGTAATTCATTATTAGTGTTGGTTTGTAATAATAATTTCTTGTAAACAGATATTGGGAAAATTAGTAAAAGGGAGGGACTTTTATATATCTTTTGTGGGAATCGGGTAGAAACCATGTATTGGACTTTTATGATTGTCTACATGCATTAGAAACCATGCTCATAGGACTGTTATGATTATTTTTATGAGTTAGATACCATGACTACCGGATTGTTATGTGCATCAAAAGACATGTTTATAGGATCACTACACTATCTGTTCTAAACTTCCATTTTGCATTCTCTTACTTGCATTAAAGATCTGGTTCTTAGGTCATTTATCAATTATGTCTTGATAATCACGTTCAACAACTGCTCTATGTGCATTAGAGACCATGTTACTAGGATTTTTACTGCATTCGCTTCAAACCATGCCATAGTTTGAACGAGTAAAAAATCAGCTGTCACCTAGCCTATAAGGAATACGCATAAAAACAATACTTAGACATCATACTCTTAGAGATGAAAGTGTGAAACCAATTATGTAATGCCTGTGATCATTCTTCAGCACCTAGACAAGCATATAGGTTCAAATAAACAAAATCTGTCTGTCGATTACTCATTCAGAATTGTGGTCTTTCATTGATGTCTAGATGACATGTTACTGCTAATGCACGCCTAGGCAAGCCTATAGGTAATCAAGGTTTAATAAACTGTGAAACTGCTTTGCTTATTAGGACTGCCCAGATTTAATAGGTTCTAAAATTCAGTAGGCAAACTGAATAGGTGTTTAACGCTTTTGCCTTTAACTCAACATTGCATATTCTCTGATTGTCATCCTGTTCTAGGGCTTTTTCTCAAATATATGAAATTTGTTGTTTTAGACGTGCACTTACTTGCTCTATTTGTGGAGGTAAAATGTGAGCCTTTTCATTGTTCTACCTTTGGGGCCGGTCTTATATGTTTTGTATGACGCCTAGAGTTTCTCCTTTTAATTATCGTAGGAGAGTCTAGATCCACCTCAACTAGAAGTCCAAAATACCTTCGGACTATATTTAAAGGGACGGGTAGTGCACGCATATGATACATCTTAAGATTGCTAGAATGCTTTAGGTTATGACCAAGGGGAGGGTAATTGGGTAGTAGAGGATATGATGACATGTGCGCTAATTCCACGTGTAACCCCTCTATTCGAGGAAGGCTTACCGGGTATTGTACTGATGTGATCCCATAGGACAATAAACCTAAGACTTCCCTCACCTTATTTATATTTGTGTGCTTAGACTGCCTATCTGTTAGACTTCCTTTATTTACGTATGTGTGCTTAGACTGCCTATCCGTTAGACTTCCTTTATTTGCAAATGTGTGCTTAGACTGCCTATCTGTTAAATGAGTAATTCACATAATTGAGTTTGGCAGGGACCCACCATTATGGACCACGAGGGGTGCCTAACACCTTCCCCTCAAGGTTATTTCGAGCCCTTACCCTAATCTCTGGTAATGCAAACTAGTTATATGAGTTAGTTGCTCTAGGTGCCCTAACGCACCTTAATCCGTTAGGTGGCGACTCTTCAAATACCCAATTCCCAAAAAGAAACGAGTTGTTCCCAATGAATGTCGAAACCCGGACTCCTTGAGGAAAAAGGGGGGCGCGACAGTCTTTAGTCTATTGGTGGTAGCAGCATTAGCATTATTATCTATAGCAAAGCAGATTTTTTTCTTATTTGTGAGCTAGCCCGATATTTTCTCATAGATTTCAAGTGTTTTTAAGATTATTTCAAGAGTGTCTTTACCACCATTGCAAAAGAGGATAGTATCATTAGCAAAAGAAAGGTGATTTATTTTGGGACCATTCACACTCATGTAAAAGCCTTTGTAACCTTGTCTATCATGAAGATTATTCAGCATCTTCGAGAGGAGTTCAGCACTGATGAAAAAAAGAGATGGAGAGATTGGATCACCTTGTCTCAGACCCATGTTAGATTTAAAGAAGCCATGCCTTCCTCCATTTACAATAACAGAGTACCAATTGTTGGATATGTAGTTGTGAATAAGATGTATCCACCACTCATAAAAGCCAATATTTTTAAGAGCCATGCATAAGAATTCCCAAGATACCCTGTCGTAAGCTTTAGCCATATCAAGCTTAATAACCACATTTCCACCTCTAGATGGCTTCTTAATATCTTTGATAATTTCCTAGGCCAATAGAATATTTTTAGTAATAGCTCTCCCTTTTATAAAACCTGATTGATTTCTGGATATAAGCTTTGGCAGGATGTTTGAGATTCTGCTATTGAGGATTTTTGAGATGATTTTACTAGAGGTGTTGCAAAGGCTTATAGGTCTGAGGTCTGAGAATTTTTTAGGGTGATCTATTTTGGGAATCATTACCAAGCAAGTATGTGTGAAAAACATAGGATGTTTAGCACCTTGAAAGAAAGATTCCACTGCCTTATTAAGATCATTGCATGTAATATCCCAAGAAAATTGATAAAAATAACCACTCAGGCCATCTGGTCCTGGGGCACTGTCCTTGTCCATAATAAACATAGCTTCTTTAATTTCATGAATAGTAGGAATGGATTTAAGCATGTTGTTGTCATTATCAGTGATACACCTCTCTATACAATTAAGAACATTGAAATTAGTGTTGTGCGATTCCTGAGTGAACATCCCTTGAAAGTGCCTCACAGCTGCTTCTGCAATAACATCATTTCCTTCCAACCATTGATTTTGGTCATCCATTTTCATAGTAATGGTCAACCTTCTTCTCCTTGCCTTTATAACACTATGAAAATAGGTTGTGTTTGCATCACATTCTTTAAACCACTTGTCTCTAGCTATTTGTCTCATAATACTTTCTTGAATGTTGAAGTATCTTGTGAATTCAGCTCTACATCTAGAGAGAGCACTTCTGTTTTCATAGGAGTTATCACTAACACAATTATCCTCCAGAATTCTCATTTCTGCTCCAAGCTTTTGGGAACCTCATATATATCTCCAAATGCTTGTCTGGACCACACACTAAGGGCTTTACACACCTGTTTGATTTGCTAATGGAGTGTATACAGAGGGTTCCCACAAACTTCTTCTTCCCAGGCATCCTTCACTGTCTTGAGGTAATCTTGGTGTTCAGTCCAAAAATTAAGGAATTTGAAGTACTTGATATGGTTAGTAACCTCATTACTCATTTTGACAAGCAGCGGTGCATGGTCAGAGAAAGCTCTTGAAAGGTGAGTAACTGAAGTACTGGATATAGTATCAAACCATGCACTAGTGTAGACAAGTCTATCCAGTCTCTTCCAAATAGTAGTAGGAGGATCTCTGTTATCACACCATGTATATATTGACCCTGTGAAACTTGTATCTTGAAGACCAAACTCATTAAGGCACTCTATGAAGTATAGGCTTACCTCCATTCTGTAGCTTCTACCCCCTTTTTTTCTTCACTAGAGGTGATAACCTTGAAGTCTCCAATGACACCCCAAGCTCCTTGAATGTTGTTGGATGTATTTTTCAGGCCATGCCATAACACTCTTCTACTTTCCTCATTGCATTTAGCATAGACAACTGTTAGGAAGATAGCAGGGTGGTTGAGATGTTTTGCACTAATCAGGACATGTTGCTCCTTATCTTGAATTATAGTAACATCCACTTCAGCAGTCCAGAATATCCATATTTTGTTTGAGCAATTGAAAAAACCATGGCTCATGTCTAGTTTTCTTCTGTATCTATCCATTTTACCACTTCTACAAGAGGTTCCTGTAAGCAGATCAAAGGGATTTGAAATTGTTGTTTGATGGTTTGGAGTCTCTCCAAAGATCCTGCAGATCCTATTCCCCTTATATTCCATGAAAGTGTGTCTATAATTTGAAACTTCTAGGGGTAGGTTCTTTTTGTTGTTCCTTGATTTCTTCTGTGATCTGGAATTCTTGAATGAAATCCACACCCTGGTTTTTGTAGTTCCTGGTGAAAGATTGTCATAAAAATGATGTTTTGTTGGACTGGTTGACTGAGCTGATATTGACTCTAGTGAGTTCATCGTCAGACTGAGATTTTTCTTTCTTTTTAATTGTTGATTATTGTCGAGTCTATTTCCGTAACATCTAGGTCATGGAAGACTTCTTCATATTCATCTCTTTCTTCCTCTATGGAAGGATCTAGATCAGGTGGTTCATGACTAATGTTGTATCTACATTTGTGTTCTTTGTTCTTGTTTTGCTCCCCAACATCTATATCTTCCACTCTATTAGATCCAGTCATCTCCTGCCCTATCTTGAGAATGTTAATTGGGGTCTATGTGCCCTTCTCTTTAGTACCTTTTCACTTGACTGTTCCACTGATATCTCTTCTTTTTCCTTGTGGTCTAATGCCCTCTGGAATGCTTATTGTCTTTGCAAATTTCTTTCTTTTGTTTTGCATATCCTTGCACTCCTTTGGGTCTTTGATAACTAAATCAGCATCGACTTTGCTGTTATTGGTGGCATTCCTTGTTCTAGTACTTCTTAGTTTGAGACCTGTTTATTTTTTTTTCTTTTTCTTTGTCTTTCTGAGCTTTGTCCCACCATGTAGTTCTTTCTTGTTGCTGTCTATCCTGGCAATCTTGTGTAGAGTCTTGTTCTTTAATATTCACATTGTTGCAGAGTGTGGTATCCATTAGACCATTCTTTATTCCTTCTTGCAAAAGATTGAAGGAATTGTTGACCTCAGTTCTGTTGTTTCTCTGGTTTGTTCTTTGATCTGCTACCTTGTTGTTGCTCTTATTTTGTTACTGGCCCATCGATATCCCATTGTTGTTCATCTCTTTTCCTTTTTTTTCTTTCCACATTTTTCCATTTGCCATTTTGAATGTTCTGGTTGTACATTCTTCCTTCCTGAGGTAAAGTACTTTTAGGCTCCATTTGTTCTATATTCCTTCTTTGTTCTTGGTTGTTGCTAGTGGTCTGCTTTTCATTGCTTTGCTGAAATATATGTGCCACATCATCATCTTTCTCAGCCATTGCAGTTTTCCCTCCTTCTTTTAATTTTTCATGTTGTACAGCCCTGCATTTTTCTAAAGTGTGACCTTGAACTTTGCAATGTGAGCAATAGGTAGGCATAGTTTCATACTCGATTTTTTGGTCAGATGTTTCTACTTTACCAAACTGGTTCCTAACCTCCACTCTTACCATATGAAGTAAAGGTTTAGTAAGATCAATTTGAACTCTTAGCTTGGCAGTTGTGGTCCTAGATTTCATAGTTGTGGCCTTATCCATCACCAAAGGTATACCTGTTGGGCTAACAATCTGACACAGAGCATCCCATTCATAATAGTGCCATTGTAAATCTGAAAGGTTAATCCAAATTGAATCTAGGGATGATTCAGACCCAGGCATAAAATTTGTGGTCCATTTGATAATTTTCATATTGATCCCTCCAGCTAGGGGAATGAGTACTCCAGACTATATATTGTTAAAATCGTCTTCATTTTCAACATCGATGAAAACATGGTATCTTTCCTTAGCTCCAATTTTTACCTCTCCTTTAGTATTAATTGTTCTAGCAAATTCAGCTCGAATTCTGTCAATTGAAAATCTACTATTTAGGAACTTACCGAAAATGGTCCATCGGCATGTTTCTACAAATAGTTCATGCTATTCGTTGGTGAATAATACCACAGGCTTTCCATCTATCAGTTCATGCTTTCTGGGGGTAGTTTCACTTTCAATTTTGCTCTATTCCCAACCTTGAAACCTAGAGCATCTGCATAAGAGTCCGTTTGGTTTTGGCTTGACTTATCATCCACTTCCATGGATTTTCTTTACAGCGGTGGAAAATTTTGGATGTTTGGGATTTGGTTGTTAGGTATTAGATCTTGTGGGTCAGGGTATTTGGGGATCTAGGAGGAGCTTGAGGGGCCTCTGGTGTTGACCACAGTGGTCACCGGAGCTAGTTGGAACTAGCCGTTACCTGCTCCTGGTGACCGTTTGTGGCAAAGTATTCGAGCTTCAGCTTTTTTGTACGGAGAGAAAATTGGTTAAACATACAGTTGATGTCTCTTAGGTTACTTATAAGCACTTAATTGAAGTTAGTATTATTTGTTCTATCTTTCGTTGTTCATTTTATTCTCACATGCTTTCATTGAAATTGTCATCACATATTCTAGTTCCATTGTCAAGTTACTCTTATGTGCATTTACTTGTAGTGGTTATTGCATGCCATTCCTTTGGAGTCAACTTCCACTACTTTCTAAGTTCTACTGTTTATCTTTACATTAAACAACATTGTATTTTGAGACTTCTAGTGTACTTCTTAGAGCTTATTACTCAGTTCCACCTGTTTTGGGAGATATTTGATTGTTGCTGTTGACATGTGATTTTTGACCCTCCCCGAAATTTTACCCATTTTAGCATGTAAATATTTAGTTTAGGCCTAATATAGCTATTTCAACTAATTTTTACTTTTTTACTTTATTTTATTACAAGAAAAATGAATATTACAAAATATAAAAAAAATAGTTTATTTTAACGGTCAATTTTATTTTAATAGTTATTTTACTCAAATAGGATTAATTAATAAATGGTGTAGTATTTTTGGTCTTGTGATAGAAGAAAGAGTATTAAATTTGGGACTAATTTTGGTTTGGTGTTATTTGAAAATGCCCAATTTGGGATAGCCCAAACATTGAGCCCATATCCATTCTCCCATATGACCTAACCTAATTCCTACCCCTATAAATTAACACCCTATACACCCCTAAAGAGGATCAGCGACTACAGTGCAAAAAAAATCCCAACCCCTGTCGACCTTCTTCTTCAGAAAAAAACGAGGCAACATTCGATGGCTTCTTTATGAAAAAAAAAATCCAACACCCTTGAGCTTCTCTTCTTCCTTCTTCATGTAAGACACAACCCTAAAAACTCTAGGCAGCCACCACCACAACGCCGAACACCCCTCCGTCCACAATCCTCCATAGCAGCCGAGTAACAACATCATGAACACCACCATTTTCAGCTCTAAAACACGAGCAGAAACAGCCCCAAACGTCACCAAAACTAGCTGAAATTTCCAGCCAAAAACACAACAACACATCCTTGAAAAGGCTGTAAAATTAGCTCCAAAAACCTTTAAAAAGTGGCTCAAGCCGCTGCTATTTTTGCCGAGGAAACAGCTCCAAAATCCTCCCTTAATCCCGTCGAAGTTCTGCGCTCGAGGTTGTCGCCGATTAGTCCATCGCGAAGTGGTTAAGTTCCGTTCGAGAGCTCCGTTTGAAGTTCCGGCGAGGTTCCTGTTTAATTTCGCTTAACGTGTTGCTGGTCGTTGTTTTCAGATTTTGTTGCTTTTTTTTCAAAGGTTCGTTTCTTATCACTAATATTTGGGATTCAGCCTACTCTATGCTTGATTATTGTTATTTTATTTTAGCTACTTTACTTGTTGTTGTGCTTTGGAATCTGTAGATATCCTTTGTGATAAGGTGTGGTTTTATTTCATTTTATTATCCTTTTTCACCGTCTTTGTTGCTCTTTGGAATGATCATTGATGCCAAATATGGGTTTGGATTTTAATGGGTAAGTGAGATACTACTGAAGTTTCCAGTTTGCATACGTGACCCAAAAGCCTTAATTGATTTTTGACTACATAAATCCATGACTCACTTTTAAATGAGTTAAAGTGAATAAGTTTGTTCATACAATCTGGGTTTTAATCGATTTCAATGTGACTTTATCTTTGAAGATGTTTGAATCACGCTAATTGCTATTCCGTTAACGGAGGGTATATTTTTATCTCATATGATGCTTCATTTTTCACCATTGCAAATTTAATTGTTAAAGTTACTTTGGTGAATATTAGGAAATAATTAATTCTTTAAATATCTGTAGCTTGCTTTAGACACGCAATAAAATTATTACAACTACGGGTACGACTCCCGTGACGTGGTTGTGATACCTGATTTTAAATTAGACTAAAGTAGGAGCATCTTTAGT